ACTGTAACATCCCCAGAACAGACTGTAACAGCTCCAGAACAGATTGCAACTACAAATACAACGAATGATGGAGTATTGATTCACAATACCGATATCACTGTTGTCACTACAAATAACAACGGTCAACCCAAGTGGGACAAAAAGCATATATGTCTGTATTGCAAGAAACCACAATCAAAATTCGCCAGACATTTGATGACACAACACGCAAATGAAGTGGACGTAATTGATGTCAACAACGAGGAAAATTATGCAAAGAAAAGGGCAAAGTTGGCCAAACTTAGAAACATTGGCAATCACCGCCACAACTGCCAAGTTCTCAGAGATGACAAAGGAGCTCTAATTGTGGGTTACAGACCATCTGTAGCAATAGCGGCCGACCAGTATGCCCCCTGTGAATTCTGTTTTGTGTACCTGGTTAGATCAGATCTGTGGAAACACAAGTGTCCACTAAAACCAACTGAAGCGAACAGTAATGATGGTCCATCCAGAGTAAAGAAGACAATGAGACGACCAGCTGTAACAGGCAAACTCCTTTTACCGTCACCGCCAGGAACAAGTCTACCTGTACACGAGATTTTACAGAGCATGCAATCTGATAATATTTCTCTTGTAGTTCGATGTGACCAACTCCTGATTAGAATTTGGACGAAGGGAGTATATGAAGCTTGGCCATGACAAAGACCAGCACAATGAGATTCGTGCACATGTGAGGCGAATGGGAAGGCTATTCATCAAGCTGAGAGCTACTAGTAAAATGCCAGATGCTTCTCTTTCAGAATTTATCAACCCGTCATACTTTCGATTATTAGTGGAATCTGTCAAGTCGTTGGCAGAGTTTGATGAGGAGAACCAAACGTTTGGCGTCCCGAGTCTTGCTCTTAAACTTAACCAAGGTGTTAAGAAGTGCGCCAAAATTTTGGAAGGGCAGGGCTTAGAAAATGGGGATTCAAGTCTACAGCAACGAGTGTGCGACTTCTACACATTGTGTGAGATGAATTTTCCTGTTGAACTGTCTACACATGCTCTACGCACAATGCACGAAAAAAAACAGAACGCAGTGAAGGTATTACCTTTAACCGAGCATGTCGTGAAGATGTCAGAGTACCTCAAGGCTCAAGTACATGAACATTTGAGAACTCTGACTGGTAGCGAAGATTTGGAAACTCGACTGGTAGCGAAGATAGCAGCAAACCAGCCGCATGGGATCGCTTGAACGCAGCAGTGTTGGCAAGCATTATTCTGTTCAACCGTAGACGCCAAGGGGAGGTATCCAAAATTACCCTAAAAGATTATAACAAGAAGAGGGAACCAAATGTCGACAAGATCGTTCTGGATGGCCCGTCAAAGATGGAACAAGCATTATGCAGGTCCTTCCACAGACTGGAAGTCAGAGGAAAACGGGGAAACACTGTACCTGCACTTCTTAATGAAGGCACGAAGATAGCCATCGATTGTTTAATCAAGAATAGAGAAATGGCGGTAGTGAACCCAAATAACATCTACCTCTTCGCAAAATCGCATTACGCAGGAATTGGACATTTGCAGGGGTGCGATGTTCTCCGAGAACTATCAAAAGTCAGCGGAGCAGCCCAGCCAGAGAACATCCGGTCAACTAGACTCAGAAAACAGATTGCGACAATATCTCAGATTGTGAACCTGAAAAAGAATGAATTAGATGTATTGGCAAATTTCATGGGGCATGACATACGTTTACACCGAGAATACTACAGATTACCACAGGAGACTCTCCATGTAGCAAAAATCAAAGCTACTCCTGGCATCTGAACAGGGTCAGACACAACTTGTAGGAAAATCCATAGGCATAAACATAAAAGGGATAGATTTCATATTAGTCAGGGGTGGTAGGGCTAAAAAAGGGCCGTTTGGTTCACATTCTTCCAAAAGCACCAAATTTGGCCCAGATGTTGCCCATACCATACTTTTTCAATTTCTGGCGGGCGCGCGGAATGGGCGCTCCCCGGGCCGCCATATTGGCAAATTCCAATATGGCCACACCCGGGTTGGGGTCAATCTAGTTAAACATCCAAAAGAACTATAATAATAAATAATACCACTTTTTAGGGGTTTTCAAGGTCTGGGAATCTGATTCTGATCTTACTTCAGTGATTTGAGGTCAAGGTCACCCCTCAAGGTCACCCTAAAGGTCATTTTGGGGTCAAATATGTCATTTTTTAGTGTTTTTTGTCAATATATACAAACAGCACCTCATTTTATCAGTTTCCGGGGTTGAGTAACCAGAATCTGACCTTATTTGAATGATTTGAGGCAATATTGCATGTCAGGGTCACGATAGAGGTCACCCGACCGAGAGGTGAATCGTACGTCAATTATAGGTAAAAAACCAAAAGTGCTAGAATCAGACATAATACCACTTTTTAGGGATTTGTGGCCTCTGAGAATCCGATTCTGATCTTATTTATAGGATTCGAAGTCAAGGTCACCCCTCAAGGTCACCCTAAAGGTCATTTTGGGGTCAAACCCAGTGTTTCTGGTGTGTCACCCCACATCCAAAAAGTTTGAGATTTTCTCCACAGAAACACTTTTGCCAAGACACACTGCAGCGATCAACGACCGACCGTAACGACAAACGACTTTTCAGAAAATTAGAAACTATTGTTTCCTATGTATAATGAGCCATTGCACACTGACGCAGGGCTCGACTTTAACGGTGGCCCGGGTGCCAATGGCCACCTGAAACGGCGTCGGGCCACCTGAAACTGTCGGGTAGGTGGCCCGCCTGGCCACCAATAAAAATAAGGCCGTGCATGCCTACGCGACCGGTTCCGGACGAGGAACCGCTAGGCTACGCGTCCGAACATCCATCTCACACAGAGATCTTGCGACACGTACACGCATGATTGCGCAAGGGGACGCTCTGCTGATTGCCGAGTGTGTGTGCGTGTGTGTGTGTGTGTGTGTGTGTGTGTGTGACGTGCGTGTGCGCGTGCGCGTGTGTACGTGTGTGTGTGCGTGTGCGTGTGCCCGTGCGCGTGCGCGTGTGTGTGTGTGTACGTGTGGTTTACTGGAAGCAGATTCTGAGAATGTGAATCGCAACAAGAAACAATGCTTTACTTGGCATCCCTGACTGCGCACGGATAGTTGAGGAGTTCGAGGCCATCCACGACCCACCATCATCATCCACTGCTCATCATGAGGAAGGACACAGCTTGCAAGTCAAGTTTCGAAAGGATGTACTATCGTTCATCGAGGTGGTCGAGCAGCTAGGCAACCCTTTCCTCACTACAAGTCAGGAGCTTGTAGCACTCGATACACAGAATGTCATGGAACAGGCCGTTGCTAATTCTCTATCTCAAATCCATGAAGCTGACCAAGCCCTTCATGCAGCATACGTCATTGAAAGGCTGGAAAAAGCTTAAGTACCGGTATCTGAATACCATCAAGCGGAACAACATGCTAACATTCGCCAACCGACCTGACCCCAAGAAAAAAGGCAAGAAGGACACTGGCATACAGAGGCAGAATATGACCTTAATCACGCAACTTTTCCTCTCAATTCAGTCGTGTCCCGATGCAGACATGATAGACTTCTTTCGGTTCGAAAATCAGAGAGAGCCACCAAGCCTGGCGGATCGAGGGCCGCTGCGATCAGGGACGAAGTCGGACATTCTTCAATGCCTCAATGCACCCACTGGCCGCACAGCTGCTGCCAAACAAGCCACGCTGGTGTGTTGGGATATGGCAGCAGTGATCCACATGGTGCGCCCCACAACAGCAAAAACATTCAGAGAGTATGTGCCGCTTCACATTGTACCATTTCTGGAGGCCCAAATAAAGATAGGTACCCAACGCATCGACGCTGTATGGGATAATTACCCCGAGGAAAATAACCTGAAAGCTCTCACGCAGCTACGACGTGGGAAGGGCCCACGGACAAGAGTCGGCGATGGCAGCACTCAAATTCCGAAGCATGAATGGAACAGTGGCTTCCTAAAAAATGAGGAGAACAAGAAGGAGCTCTTCTCATTCATCAGCACACAGATCTCCAAGAACGACATGGGTGGAAAGCTCCTCCTGAGTACCGCGTTTCGAGACCGTGCTCTCCAACAAGCATTGTGACCTCACAACACTTCAGCCGTGCAACCATTCCGAGGCGGACACAAGGATCTTACTGCATCTGGCATATGCCGCAGAGCAGGGTCATACAACAGCCTATGTTCGCACGGTAGACAGCGATGTCGTGGTTTTGGCAATCCGGTTTTTCGAGACCCTCGGCCTATCAGAGCTCTGGGTGGGGTTCGGTACTGGTAAAAAGTACCGTGATATTCCAGTCCATACCATCGGCTCCAATCTCGGTCCTTCAAAGTCCTTGCAGCTACCCCTCTTCCACAGCCTAACAGGATGTGAACCCGACTTCACAGTTTCTTGGATGTGGCAAGAAGACGCCTGGCAGCCTGGACAAGCATGCCGGACCTCACGCGACACACTAGTGGCTTTCACACGCGACCCTGACCTCTTCAGTCTGGTGTCTGTACATATGCAGCAGATCGAATGCTTCGTGGTACTCATGTACAGCAAGGGGTGTGGCGCAGCTGGTGTCAATGAGGCCAGGCATCGCCTCTTCATCACTGGAAGCAGATCACTGGAGAATATTCCACCTACCCAAGCAGCACTGTTCCAGCATGTGAAGCAAGCATTACTACCGGCACATTACTACTGGAGTCAGGCCACCTCGGTCCAGCAA